CTTCTGATACTCATTTCCACACATTAAGCCTCTATTAAAAGGACAGGACATTTTCCCACAGGGCTCTTCACCATCCTGTCTAGGTTACCAGAATAACATTAAGGTGGACGAGGAGGAGATTGGATTTATACCCCACCCTTCACTACCCGAAGGAGTCTCCAGGTGGCTTACAATCCCTTTCCCTTCCCCTCCCCACAACAGACACCCTGTGAGGTAGGTGGCGCTGAGAGAGCTCTCTCAAGAACTGCCCTTGAAAGAACAGCTCTGAAAGAATTTATGACTGACCCAAGGTCATATCAGCAGCTGCATGTGGAGGAGTGGGGAGTCAAACCCGGTTCTCCCAAATTGGAGTCTGCGCTCCTGACTTCTACACCAATCTGGCTCTCAGTACAAGGTGCTATAGTGGGAGTGTTCCATTCCCCAGCAATGGAAATAACCCCACATTTAGAGCTGTCATAGGGACAGGAGTACCCATTGAACCTAGCAACAAGGAGCTAGAGAAAGTATCGTAGAAACTGCCACACTTCGGATCAGAGTGCAGAATTTAAATAGCCTTGGCACAGAATGTTTTAAGTCTTTTTTTAGCACAGATTTTATGCAACGTCGCTCATTCTTTACAATCCAGTGTGGGTTTTATTCTCTTTTTTCACTGCAATTTTTCATATTTTAGAATCCAGGAAATCCAGACAACAGTTCCACAAGATTACCAGGTTCTCAGTGTGTTCCTATTTCCTTTTGGGAACAGCAGTGGAAACTCTGCTTCCAGAGAATGGATTCCATTTTTTTTACCCTGTTTCATTTGGCAAATCACACTGTGGCAGCTTTGAGATCCAACAAACATGGGGTATAGCTGACTGGAAGCATACACACACCCCTGCTCATGTCAGCTATTCAGCTGATCATGCAAGTACAGTTGCCAGCCTCCAAACTGGGTCTGGAGTCCTCCCAGAATTGACTCCTGACTGCAGAGACCACTCCCCTGTGTAAGACGGTTACTTTGGAGGGCAGACTCTATGGCATCACACCCTGGCTGAGCTTCTGCCCTCCCAAGCATTGCCCCCAAATCTCCAGGAATTTTCCAACCAAGCTGGCAACCACATGTACACATTTTAGTGAACTAATATTTCTTTGATTAGATAGCAGCCTGAATGGCTTTTTAAAACTGAAGGCAGGATTAACTGGAATGTAGTTTTGCCTTTGAGAAAACATGAGCAAACGCCATCATATGTACTCTCCTTATTGTAGAGGGAGATCCTAAAATGCCTATTCAAAACTCAAAGCAGGTGGCCTATAAACAAGTGGACCTGCATAACCCCAAGTCCCTTGTGTGTGTAACGTGTTGTCAAATTGCAGCCGACATGGCCACCCCAGCAAGGGGCTTTCAAGGCAAGTGAGAAGCAGAGGTGGTTTGCCATGGCCTTCTTCTGCAAAGTCAGCCTTGGTGGTCTCCCATCCAAGTACTGAGCCTGCTTAGCTTCTGAGATCTGATAAGATTGTGCTGTACTATATCATTCCACATCCCGCAAGTCTAGGGTTGCCAGCTCTGGGTTGGGAAATACCTGGATATTTGGGGGGAGGAGCCTGAGAGGGGACTTCAGTGGGGCATAATGCCATAGAGTCCCATCTTCCAAAGCAGCCATTTTCTCCAGGTGAACTGATCTCTGTCACCTGGAGGTCCATTGTAATCCCAGAAGATCTCCAGGCTGGCAACCCTGTCCAAGTCCTTTAGTTTTGGTATATTGTCTACTTGACTAGCAACACTTGTTGAGGTTCTCAGTCTGAGAAAGATCTCTTTCTGCCTCCAAGAGATTCTTTATCTGGAGATGCCAGGGATTGAATCTGGGACACTCTCCAGGCAAACCAAGTACTTTTATTTTTGGCTAGGTCACGGCAACATCTACATACTATTGGGCTCACTTATGAGTCCACCTAGCTCAGTATTTGTCCCCCCTCTCTGGCAGCAGCTTTCCAGGCTGAAAAAGCTCTTCCCAACATCTGTGACCGGAGATGCCAGGGATTGAAACGGGGACCATCTGCATGCAAAGCATGTGTTCAGTTTGCTGAGCCATGACCCCTTCTCCAGCTTGTGTTGGGCCAGCCATGATGTAAATGTAACAATAGATTTTGGAGTGCACAGTGTCTCGTGAAGAGACTGCATCTTCTTGCAGACAGTGCAAAGCAGATGTTTCTAATGAGCGTGCATCTTTTTCTGTACATCCATCTATTGATAATCTCAGGGTATTCCTCTCGCCTGCAAAGGGATGTTTCATCAGATATGGCTTTTCCAGACTTTTCCTAGTTTTGTCAGTGCAGCTGCAAGCCCTGTGATAGCCCCCTTCCCCCCTCCACTCCCACAAACCAGATGAAATCAGCCAATGACACAGTGCTCTTGGTTTCTCTTGTTTGGCAAACTAGTGGCATTTCATGTTTTTCCATAACCAGGTATTTGACAGAAGAACTTCCAGATCTAATCACTGGCTGTTCTGTGAACAGTCTCTGCTTTTCTATTTAATATTTATTCCTTTCGTTTATATCACACCTTTCTGCCGAATGGGGACCCAAAGGGGTTTATATTGTTCTGTCTTCTTCTGTTTTATTCTCACAATAACCCTGTGAGGTAGGTTCCACTGGGAATGTGTGACTGAATCAAGGTTACCCAGGAAACTTCCATGGTAGAGGTGGGATTCAAACCTGGGTGCCTTAGATCCTAGACCAGAGTTGTCAAACTCAGGGCTCTAGTCGGGGGGGAGCTCTCAGGTACGGAGCTCCAGAAGAGAACCTCTAGGGGGTGGGGCGGTCACATGGTGAAGCCCCGCCCCCTTCTTTACCCCGCCCTCTGCTTCGATCCTCATTCCGTTTGGGAATGAGGATGAAGCAGGAGGGTAAGTAGCCGGGCCTTCTGACACACTTCCGGTGATGTCAGGGGGTGTGGCCTTCTGTCACTTCCGGTGATGTCAGGGGGCGTGGCATATGCAAATAAGTTATGCTAATGAGTTATGCTAATGAGCTCCGGCAGCTCTTTTTCTACAACAAGACCCCTGGTCAAACTCATTTGTTATCAGGGCCGGATCGGGCATAAATGTCACATTGTCGGACCAGGCCATTTGTGCCATAAGATGTAATGCCAGGTACCAGAGATATAAACTGTATAAAGGACAGTAAGCGCCGAATTGTTGTATCCTCACTGCAATGTCCTTTGGGCTGGGAAGGGGTGCAGAGGAAAACCCACATGGGTGGACTGGAGAGCTGGTGCTGCAGCACTGGCAGATGCTCCCATGCTGCTTGACTGCTGCAGACGAGGTTGTTCTGCCATGCTGATGCCACAATCGGTGTGGCTCCACCCACTCCCCTCCCCAAGCAGTCTTCTGTTTCCTCCCTTGCATCAGTTGCTCGTGGGCCACATAAGAACCCTGGACAGGCCGGTTCTGGCCCTAGGGCCTTATGTTTGACACCCCTGTCCTAGACCAACACAATCTTGGGGTTTGCAAGGAATTGCAGGAGGAGGGAATAATCCCCCCCTCCAGGATTCTATACATGCTCAGAGGCTTGGATAGGCTAAATTCTCATCCATGATTTGTATTTATTTGTCAACTACTCTGAACATTCTGTGCCTCTCAGAGCATGCTTAGGTCATTTTTAAAATTAATTTACAAAATTGTATATATTTTCATATCTAGGGAGTTATCGTGGCGTGGAGACACCTTTAACTTGTCTGTGGGTGGATTGGTTTTGTTGCTTTTGCATTAATAATTAGAGTTGTCCACCTAGACCAACACAAGCTTGGGGTTTGCAAGGAATTGCAGGAGGAGGGAATAATCCCCCCCTCCAGGATTCTATACATGCTCAGAGGCTTGGATAGGCTAAATTCTCATCCATGATTTGTATTTATTTGTCAACTACTCTGAACATTCTGTGCCTCTCAGAGCATGCTTAGGTCATTTTTAAAATTAATTTACAAAATTGTATATATTTTCATATCTAGGGAGTTATCGTGGCGTGGAGACACCTTTAACTTGTCTGTGGGTGGATTGGTTTTGTTGCTTTTGCATTAATAATGAGAGTTGTCCACATTTCTGTTTAAAAGGAGTGACCCTACTTTAACTGAT